CAGATGGAAAGATTTTCCTGGATCAACTACTTGCAGGTGTAGGGGGAAGGCCATTTCCTGGTCTTGTAAGCAAGAATATGGCTTAGGGACTGGGTTTTGCATTTGTGTTTTAGTTTTCATTCTTCCCTGTGAATGGCTATAGGTATCTTGAAGTTTTTCCAATACAATCTCTTATTCCCCATGCTAGACAGTTTCCTGCAACTTCCCAATGTAACCCAACTCCTCTGCCTCTCAGAACCCTGACAGGCCCAGGAACCTTCTGTCCACCACCCTGGGCACCCCATTCCTGCTGCCCCACAGGATTTGGTTCTGCAATCCAGGCTGTGCCCGTAGTCTTAAAGGGAGTATTTTTGGCTCCTTCTGAGATCAATTGCCCTGACATTCTCCCTCCAATTTCTGGCCCAGGCACCACTGCTCGATAATTCACTGTTTCAGATGGCTTTTATATTTTTTGTTGGAGTTTAAGCTTTCTCTTAGTTTCATGGAAAATGAAGTCTCCTGTATATTTGCCATTCTTTTTGTTGTTTTAGAATAATTTCTACAAAGATAAGGGGAAAATACTAACTCTACTCCCAAACAGAAATCTGAGCTCTTCAACATAAAAGCCTTGGTTTTCTTGACCCTGGGACCCAGAATCTCCTGGTTCTCATCCCAAGTCAAGGCCCCCCTCATTTCCACACCCCTGTGCTGGTTCCTCCTCAGTGTCATGATTTCTGATATCAAGGTACATAGGGCTCACTCCTACACTCCTCATTTTCTTTCAACTCCCTGGGTGAACTCCTTTGTAAGTAAGGCATTGAATACTAGTTTTAAGCTACTGAGTTCCAAATTTGTATCTCCAATAGTGATGTCCACTCTCGAACCTATATTTTATATTCACCTATTATATGCCAAAACTGGAAAAGAATTAACTGGAACTGAATCTATGCCAAAGTAAACACTTAATAATCAAGCTAATAATGCCTCCTCTGACCATCCTTCCTAAATTATCACATTCCCTTACACTCATTCTCTCACTTTGGTTAAGTATTTCTCCTGCTTCTTAAAGAACTAGTTAACATACATTATTTTCTTGTTTATTTTTCATCAGAATGGAAGCTCCATGAAAAAGAGACACTATTTTGATCATTGTTATAATAATAAAATCACCAGTGCTTAAAATCTGCTCAATTAAGATGTGCTGAAAGAATAAATTGATGTAAGAATAAATGTCTGAGGGAAAACACCAGTCCATGGGAACAGAGGAAAAGAGGGCAATGGAGAATATTGACAAAATAAAAGCAAAGAAAAACATCTAAAAAGAGGAAGGCAGGCATTAGATTTTGGATAAATATTAATATAAGAAAATATTCAGCAAAATAAAAGGCCATGATATGTGAGTGAGAGCTATTCTTGGAGTCTATGAATGTGTTTGGTGCATGCAGACCACCTGTCCTGAGGTCTGGGCCTGGGTAAGAAAATTGGTGAAAACAGGTCCACACTGCCAGCATCTGCTGGACTTTACTCCTCCTGGCATCTCTGCCCAGTACTTGCTAACTGACCTGAGAGGCTCTGGTTTGGGGGTCCTTCTAGCATCCATGGCTCTGCTCCTTGCTCCAACTCGAAGATCACCTCGGGTTTGGTATTGCAATGCCCTGTTAGTAGGAAATAATGTAGGACTTTGTCAAACTGCTCAGTCAGGTCCTTTGAACAATGACAAGAGGTCGGCTTCAGGAGCTGTGCAGTGAAAGAGCCAATTTGAACCTTTCAGTGGAGAGGGGTGACACATTTTCCATGGACTGGAAATTTACAATGAATAGCACAAAACCTGTAAAGGCTTCCTGTATTTATCAAGAAGAAAGAAGTTTTGCTCACCCAGCGACACCAGGTTGCTGTAGGTCTCCAGCATCACGTCTCTGTACAGGGTCCTCTGAGCATTGTCCAGGTCCCGCCACTCCTCCCAGGTGAAGTCCACGGCCACATCCTCAAAGGATACCAAGCCCTGTAATGGCACATTTCTCCTCAACTTATCAGCCCTGGGACACAACAATGGGACCTTGGAATTCACTCTTCTGTATGTACGTGGTGTCTCACGTAAGACACATGAGATCAACGCATATGAGATGCTGGTTCTTTGTACTCTACAAGGTGGGAGAAAGAAAAAAAACAGTAGAAATATCCTTCTGCTGTAATAACTTAATTACTGAAAATAGTATGACAAAGTTTGTCTTTAAATCTAGAACCATTCTTGCTGTTAGGGATAAAATTATGAATAAAATTCTCCTCCTCCAAGGAGCTCATGATCTGGTAGGAAGATGTGAGTATAAATACATACTTGGAATAATGAGTTACAGGAACTAATTTAGACACAAGTTCAATGTAGACTGGGGTAAGAAAGCAGGAGAAAATGTAGTTCTATTTTGTATTATGAGGTTGTACTTCCTTGAAAAACTGAAGATGTTTAGTTCTTCCTTGTGAACCATGCATTCTTATGACTGTGAGGCAACAAGAGAAGTCCAGATACAAGGACACAAAAAACACACTCCACGTTGGTGCAACTACACACAGCCCATGTTTAGGTGAACAATCCTGGGCCGTGCTGAGAGGTAAATGCGATGCTGAAGGAACTGATTATGGAGCAATTCTGCACTTACCGCCCTGATGTAATTCTAGTAACGAAGCACTTCATGCACATATCATGTGTAAGCTACAGATGTACTTCAGTACCCCTGGGGGTTGATTCCAGTATCCCCTACGTACACCGAAATCCACGCATGCTCGTCTCTCACATAAAATGGTAAAATATCTGCATATATCCTACGCTATGTAAATACATGTTATGCTGTGTTCTTTAGAAAATAATGTCAAGAAAAAATTCTGTATATGATCAGTACAAAGGCAACCATCTTTTTTAAATTAATATTTTCAATCTGAGGTTGGTTGAATTCACGGATGTGGAATTCTTATGTACAGAAGATAACTATACTTATAAATTTAAAAAAATGTACACAGGCATTCTAAAATT